ACCACCATTCTCAGTTTTCGGGGTGGACTTTGCAGGTCCGATGTATGCTAATACATCGAATTCTTGTGAAAAAGCCTATATATGCTTGTTTACTGGCACAGTAAGACGACCTTTACGCTTGAAATTAGTCTCTTATCTAAGTACTGAAACGTTTTTTTTAACCATGCGTTGATTTATGTCCAAACGAGGAAATATCCATACCATCTATAGCGACAATGCAAAAACTTTTGAAAGCGCTCATAAAGAACTTATTTTTTCTTTTATTCAAGATCCAGAGATACAAAATTTTGTTGCAACTAAAAGAATCAAGTGGAAATTTATTATGGAGCGTGTAGCATGGTTGGGAGGGTTCTATTATAGGTTGGTAAAATCGGTCAAAGAATGCTTGCGCAAGACTATCTAAATCTCTTCTTACATTTGAAGAATTGACTACCATCTTAGCAGATATGGAGTCAGTTTTAAGCCAACGTCCATTAAGTTATGTTTATTTAGAATTAAATGAACCCGAACCTCTTACTCTTGATCACTTTTTACTACCCGAGAGGAAAATCGAACATCCGATATACTATGCCGAAACTCTCTTTGAACAGTCAAATCGTTCTTCTTTAGTTAAAAGAAAACTGTTCCAGGTGCGACTTTTACAGAACTTTTGGACTAAATAGAAAGAACAATATGTTCTCCTCTTGAAAACAGCACATAGTTTGTCAACCGCTGAAAACGAAAGGGACATTTAAGTTCAGGATGTTGTTCTCATAGAAGGAGACAAGAAGAATAAGCTACTTTGGAGTCTAGGAGTAATCCAGAGGTGTACCCAGAACGAGATGGAAAAGTCCGGAGCTGCCTAGTAAAGAGCAATGGAACCCTGATAAGACGTCTGCTGTAGAAAAATCAGAAACCACCACTAGATGGCATCATTAACAGTCAACTGTGACCGTAACTTTTATAAAAGACACTTGTAAAAAAGACATCTACACCATTTAGTAGTAGTAGTATTGGGTTGATGCATAAGTTCCCGCGTTTTTTTCTTAATTTAAAAAATTTGCTTCGAAAATGAAATGTTTTAGCATAATCTTTTACGTTATTCGAAAGAGAATTTTTCGCTCTATAAAATAGTGTATTTAACTTTTTTGTTGACTTTAATTTTTGTTACTTTTTAGAGCATTTAAATGGAGTGTTAAGTCAACAAAAACGAGCGTTTCCGACACCAACTTCCTTTTACATTTAATCGAGGTGCCAAAGCCACAGAAGCTGCTCGAGAGAGTTGTGCCGCGCGATTTCAAATGCTTTACGTGGCGTTTCGTTCAGTAATGACGTTGAATTAAGGGCTTGGTTGGACGACTTTTTCGAGACGCTTCCGGGTAATTTCAACCAAATTGGCATTGAAAAACTCGTTGAACATTAGGAGGAAGTCGTAAAAGCCAACGGAGAGTACATTATAGATAAAATTGTTGTTATTTTATATCAAAAAATAAAGTTATAAAAAAATTTTAAAAAAAACGCGGGAACTTATGCATCAACCCAATAGTATAACCCTTTGTCCTGTATTCATTATGTTGATATAATATATTTTTTTGCTACTTACCCCTTTGATTAGTTATTCTTCATTTGAGTAGTTTTCCTGTATTTTAAGAAAACGATATGTATTCATTAATAATAGTTTAACCAATCTTCAGTGTAATTATAAACCCGATAGAAATAATTGCAGTAGAAAAATATACATAGCAACAGTGACTTTAAAAATAAAATATCATTTAAGATTAAAAAAACTACTTGGTGATTATCAAAATCAGAATAAAAATATAACATATTGCAATACATAAATGAAATAATGAACTTAGATTTATAAAACACAAAAGTAAGGGAAAGATTAAGAATCAAAAATTAAATGGCTTGTTAAAATATGACGAAACAGGATGTCTAACAAAGAAAAGAAACAGAAATACGTACACAAATTAATACGAATAATAAACCCTGATGTAAGAAGAAGAAAAAAGAGTTAAATAAGTCTTTAGTGTTTTAAATGTATGATTTACACAATAAAAATTTTGATAACCCTGTGGTGAGAAAGGTAGAATACCCTCAAAATAAATATTAAACTTAACTTATTTTTTCCACAAAAAAACTGTAATTTTATGAGTCAAATGTAATGTGTTGTACGAATAGTTAATAATAGCTAATTAAATACCATAACTAATAATCCCAAGAAACTGAAGCGGAAAGATGCTATGATATTCACCATTTACTTTGGCAATTCGATTTTGACAAACCAAATAATTTAGACTTTGACGAATCAGAAAATTCAGAATGTCGACATGAGGATCACGATAGATATGTTCGTTATCAAGAATACGATTAATCATCAATCGCTGCACATTGTTCGAATCTTGAACATAAGTTCGATTACCATCTCAATCACATCAATTTATTTTGATGCCTTGGTGTCTTATTTCATTTATATGAAAACTGGTACCCTTGTTAACGACATTAATTCCTCAACACCACTCCGTAGCAAGTGGAAATACAGTGTACCCCGATTCACAATGGAGTGCATCGTACTGTTTTTTCATCTTTATTTTTGTTTCACTCTCGGCTACTGCGAGTTTTTTAGTTTTGTTTATCAGCTTCATTTTCCAGTCTTTCATTGACAACTTTACCTTTCGTATTCCAAATAATTTTTGATGATTCTCATTCACGTCTGGCAAGTCTTAAACATGAGGGCCTATTTTTGAGTGCTTTAAACATGTTGATTTTATTTCCATCTGCATATTTCTAAACCCATTTTTTAAAATCAAGTAACGCTATGGCTAAGGCAAAAATATCTGAAAAAATACCTAATAAACGTATGCTTAGTTCTTCTATAAAATCACTAGAAATACACGGTAATACCACACTGATTGAGAAAAAAAAATGATTGTAAAGAGCGAAGAAACTTAATTGCAAAACTCAACTAAAAGCATTATAAAAAAGCTTTCGCGTCTTTTTGAGAGCTTTTTTAGTCAACAACGATACAGTAATGTGACAATACAACGTTCTTATCATTTTAGAAAAACAAATTTTTCTATACATTCTTTTTAAAAAAACTTAAAAGCGTAATTTTCAGTACTGCTATACAGAGATATGTTAAGTGCTACTTTTTAGCACTTTTTCAATTAAAATCTCTACTTTTAAAAAAATACCGATACTCCAGAAAGAATTAAACAGGCTTAAATCTATCTTTTTCCTATAATCACTCCTATGAGGATGGCTGTTAAACCGCTTTCATAGTATAGAGAGAGAGCGCAGAATTTATCATTTAATGCGATTACTATCTCGTATAGGGATTAAGTGCTTCGAGAGATGGATCTTAGTGTTTCCGAAGAGTAATTTAATGCATTTACTGTAGATTCACATCAATCGATTTCTATGAAAGGTTAAATCTTGTCTGAAGTATGAATAATCGTTCAGAGAAATAGAACATATTCAAATAAACACGGATCTTTTCGGGAACAGGATGAGAAAACTGCTTAAAGGCTCTTGCTGATATAAGATGCTAAAATATTCAACTTTACAGTCGGCACTATGCATACGATAGTATTTAATATATATATTCCTATACATAGTGTTTCGGAATTTCTTTTGCTCCTCCTGTTAGTGTTACTAATGCAACGATAAGAGGAAGAAAGATTGGTAAAAAATTAATGAATGGAATCTAAAAAAAGGTTTTTACAAATAAAAGATGCAAAAATTATAAACTTTTCACAGTAAGAAGAAAAAATATGGGCAAAACTAAGTATGTATGGTTAAATTTACAGTGATTATGGCTCTATTGGAACATCGAAACCTTGGTAATTTTTATTGAAATGCTTTGGTAATAATTTTTGTGAAATGAACAATGAAATAAGGTTTTAAAATGTGTGCAAAAATTCGGTAAATGTAGTACAATTTAGAAATTTTATCATGATACCTCAGAGCATGACATGAAAACTGCTTATTCGGTGAAATTTACTTCTCAGTTTTGCTTTTGTTACTAAAGGTATAGAAATGAAAACTATAAAAAAAAAGTAAACCGTTACCAATATTGTCTGGAAAATTACAAAATGAAGTGACTTTTTTGTTATTGTTAATTCTTTTTTGGAAATTGTGAATGAATAAACTTTTTTATATGCATGAAAATGCAAGGGGAGAATTATGTCTTAAATGAATTATCTTAAAGAATTATGTCTTAAAGAAAATAAGGACTTTCTATCTCAAACCAATCGTATATTTTGTTTGAGCATAATATTATAAGGTTTTGGAGAAACAGCCATACATCAATGAAATAAATAACTAAACAAATTAAAATAATTTATTTTTTTGTTAAAAATCATCAATATTTTTGCTGCTCTAAATGTCTAAGACTATTAGGGTAATGGGAGTTTTTCTTTTTCAAAAAAATAAATATTGTCTGTTAAACTAGAAAAATTACTAACAAACATAATAAACAAGAAAAAGGTAAAAAAAAAAAGATGGAAAATAACATATTTTGTTAAAATCTGCTCCGAAAAGTTTGGCAGAAATAAATGAATTGTTAAATGAAATGTAAAACAAATATGGTTACTCATTAATTAATAGTTAATCTTTTTCAAACATTTTTTTTCGGTTAATGGCGGGCACTTGGGTCTATGTCCCATTGGCCTCAGAAATGCCAGAATTGCTACTCTCTTATTGTCGAGAATTCCCACTATAGCTGTCTTCTGCGCATGTTGTTTTGGTGCGCCCACAGCGCCACTAGTTGATGTTAAGATCTCGATGATGTCGAACGAGCTTTTTTAGCTCTGTAAATGATTGAAGCTTAATTGTTAATTGTTTATTCTTTTTGGTTGAGTTATCTAATTCCGTTATTATTAAAGTGATTGTCTATAAAACATGTTAGAGTCCTTTATGACTTAACAAATTGACATTTATTACCTCCAATAACAGGGGCTGTCCTGGAGAACGGGGTAAGTCGAACTTACCTTGATTTATAGAAACTTAACGATTCCATGAATGTAGACAATTGTGTTGCAAGCGTGAACACTATTGACGAGTTAAATTCTTTCATTACGGTGTCTAAAGAATTAATGGCTTCAGCACAATTTGACCTAAGGGGTTCGAAACATAATCGGCCAGATAGTGATGAGGAAACCTCAATTTTGTCTGGAGATAATTATGAAGAAATCGTTTCAGTATTGGGCCTTAAATGGAATTTATACAGGGATACTTTACCTTGTGAGATGAATGAGGAAAATCAACCCATTCCGAGTAAACGAAATGTATTATCTATGTTAAGCCGAATTTTTGACCCTATTGGGTTTACAAGTCCTGTCACACTAGTTCCTAAATTAATCTTGCAGGAATGTTGGAAGGTGAAAATTAATTGGTATACAGGACTTCCGGATAATCTGAGGAATAAATTTCTAAAGTGGGCTAATGAATTAAAATATCTGAAAGAAATAGAAATCCCTAGAAAAACACCTGATCTAGATGAAAATTCTACTCTGCATGTCTTCGTAGACGCGAGCAAATCGGCTTACGCGGCTTCAATTTTTATTAGAAATGTTAAAGGGGGAATAGTTAACTGTCAACTCTTACAGGCTAAATCCAAGGTAGCACCCCTAAAATCGATAACAATTCCTAGATTAGAAATTCTCGCGTGTACCATTGGAGCCAGGCTCGCTTACACTGTAAGAGATGATTTGAATATGAAGAATGTGCGAACCTTTTTCTACACTGCCTTAATGAACGCTTTATACTGCATTAAAAAGCAATATAACTGGGCCCCTTTTGTTGCTAACAGAGTCAATGAAATTCGAAAACTTACGGATCCGGAGGCTTGGCGACATATTCAAGGAAAGTATAATCCCGCAGATTTGCCCTCGCGGGGATGCAATTCTAAAGATTTATTGAAATCCCATTGGTGGGAGGCCCCCCAATTTTTAAAACTGCCATTCGAGAATTGGCCAGCTAGTAAACTTTCTCCGGATATTGAAGTAGTTCGTTCAGAAAGAAAACGAACTATATCCTCAGCCACAAATTTAACAACTAATACCTTTGAAATCTTCCATAAGAGGTCTTCCTTCAATAAAATTGTGAGAATCATGGCCTACGTCATCCGATTTTATAAAAATACTCTAAGAAATTATAGTGATAGAAAGAAGGGAAAATTGGAGGTAGAAGAGATCGAAGCATCCGAGAAGTTCGTTTTGAAAGAAATTCAAAGAGAATCTTTTAATGGAAAGATAAATTTTCGAACTGTGAAAGACAGCGATGGTCTCTTTCGAGTTGAGACAAGAATAACATCGAGAAAAGACTTAGAAACTTTTAGATTCCCTATATTATTGACTAGCAAGCATGATTTGGTGGAAAAATTAATAATGGACAAACATATTGAACTGAAACATGACGGTATTCAAACTTTGATGTCTCACTTTAGAGAGTCGTTTTGGATTATTAAAACCAGAAAGACAATTCGAAACGTCGTAAAATAATGCTTCAAGTGCAAAAGATTCTCGGTTAAACCATTGGAAGCCGTAAGCATTCCACTCCCAGAAGATCGAGTCAGAGACGCAGCTATTTTTGAAATTAGAGGTGTTGACCTGTGCGGGCATCTGATTTTAAAAGAAGATAAAAAAGGCTGGGTGGTACTCTTCACTTGTGCCATCTACCGAGCGGTACACCTCGAAGTAGTATCGTCCCTGTCAACAGATTGTTTCATCTTGGCCCTTCGCCGATTTATTGCTCGCAGAGGACACCCGTCCACTGTATACTCTGACAATGGGACAAATCTTGTGGGAACGGCAAATCTTTTGAAGAACATTAATTGGAACGAAATTGAAGACTTTGCTTCAAGGAAACGAATTTCATGGAAATTTAATCCTCCCTCTGCCCCTTGGTGGGGAGGCTTCTTCGAAAGATTAATAGGAGTTTTGAAAGGCATCCTGAGAAAGGTTCTAGGACGAGCTTGTTTGAATGAAGAAGAGTTAGCTACAGTATTATGCGACGCGGAAAGTTTAATTAATTCCCGTCCTATAACGTATCTTTCAGAAGATCCCGAAGATCTGTCAGCGCTCACGCCATCCATGTTTCTACAGGAAATTAAAGAAATTGGTGTTCCTGAACTTGACCTAATTGATTCAAAAAAATTGAACAAAAGATATTCTTATCGGTTAAAATTGCGACAAGACCTGCGAAACCGATTCAGAATTGAATATCTAGGTTTGCTTAAAGATAATTCTAAAATTAAAAGGGAGTCGTCTATCAAAGAAGGAGATCTTGTGCTAATCGGAGATTCCAACCATAAAAGAATACTCTGGCCATTGGCCAAAGTTGAAAGGACTTATCCAGGAAAGGATGGGAGAATCCGTTTAGTGGAACTTAAGACCCAATCTGGGAAACTATTAAGACCTATACAAAGACTTTTTCCGCTGGAAGTGAAAGCAAATGACTTTCCATCTGTGAACAATTCTGGTAGACATGATGAGAGTCCTTGTCACAACAAGGATTTATTCCCTGCCAATAAAGAAGTTCGATACTCTCGTTATGGACGATCATTGGAACCAACTAAGAGACTTTAACTGTGCTTAATTCATTAATAATGTAACCATTTTGCTAATAATTTTATTCGTTCAGTTTTTTTCCAGGTGGACCATATAGACTAAGATTTCTGTTTGGATTCAAAAAGGTTTGTCTTCGAATCCAAAGGTGGGAGAATGTCGAGAATTCCCCCTATAGCTGTCTTCTGCGCATGTTGTTTTGGTGCTCCCACAGCGCCACTAGTTGATGTTAAGATCTCGATGATGTCGAACGAGCTTTTTTAGCTCCGTAAATGATTGAAGCTTAATTGTTAATTGTTTATTCTTTTTGGTTGTGTTATCTAATTTCGTTATTATTAAAGTGATTGTCTATAAAACATGTTAGAGTCCTTGATGACTTTACAAATTGACATTTATTACCTCCAATAACAGTGGCAGTCCTGGAGAACGGGGTAAGTAGAACTTACCTTGTTTTATAGAAATAGTTTTCTTCAGTTTTTTGCTTAAAAATTGACACTTTTCGTTACTCAGTGAGCACTTATGGCTAAGCCACGGTGGTGGAGTAGCGTTGCCCACGTCATACAACCACAAACCCGTTCATAGGGCGGGTTACATTCAAACAATCATACAGAAGAAAGGACATAGAACACAGAGAGAGAAAGAAACATCCATGCCCTGAGTGGGATTCGAACCCGCAACCATCGGCTCCGCAGTCAGGCAAGCTAACCACTCGGCCACCTGATCGGCTGCTTTTCAAACATCAAGTTTTTCAAGATTTAGTATAATCCATAAAGAGTTGCAAATATGCCAATATAACATTTTACAAATTTTTTTAAAGCTCATTATTGGATACACAATGCCCCAGTGGCAAAAAACATCTGTATTTATCACAATTAAAGAATTCTGAAAATTATCTAAAGAGCTTGTGTTGAATTATTTGTATTCAATTTTTGCTATTGGTAGGAAACATTTAAACACAGAAAATTATCTAAGAGTACAATATAAGAAGAAATAGCTGCGCAATTAAAATAATTAAATGAATAGTTATTAATTCGAAAATTTATTTTATAATTTTTTTATGACCTTCATTCAACAGTCGACCCAATTTTCGGTTAACGACTACTAATGTTCAACTCAGTAGCCTTGACATTTTGAACCCAATCCAGAGGACAAGGGAACTCCTGGGTCAAAGATTGGAAAAATTTGCTTTCGTGGAGGACTTTTTGATGGAACTTACCCGCATTTGCTTCACATGAAGAGAAAAACCGCGAAAGCTTCTCACAATTAACCTTACGGCAAGGGGGCTCTAACCCATGATTCGTCTATTACTGAGGATGTTTTACGCGTCAACACTGCGGTCGGTGCAAGCCGAGTGCAGAATTTCTATCGACCAGCCATTGCTGGAATTTTCTGCGGTTCACCTCATGGAAGGCGAACGTTCTATCCGAGTCACTATGACTCAATTATAAATTTAAAAATTTTCTTATACTTAAAAATTTTATTAATGAATCTTTCATTAAAAAATCCTTTCTATATTAAAAAATCGTTAAATGCGCAATCATCCTAGCTGTTTTGGGTGTCCAACTGACAGCTACATTTTGTTTTGGTACCAAAACACCTCCAACTACTTCGGATTCTCCGTAATTTTTGAAAATATTTTTTCCAGTATTAGCAAGGGTAATGTAGTCATTTTTAAATAAATTAGAACTTGTCCGCAACTAAACACAAGTAATTTAAACCGATGCATATCGGGTCATACAGACGAATTAAATTCTTAATATCCATTTTTTCTTCTTGGCTGTTGTTGTTAATTTACGTCACACTAGAGCTGCACAATGGGCTATTGGCGACGGTCTGGGAAGCATCCCGGAGGATGATCCGAAGACATGCCATCACAATTTTGATCCTCAGCGGAGGGGATGGCACCCCCGCTTCTGTAGCCCTACGACCTGCGTGCGAAGTCGAACACTTTACGGTAGCACAGTTCAACGAGGACCAATACCGCACACCCTCGGTCCCTACGCTGACAGATCCAAGTGGTCACCCATCCACACACTGACCGTAGCCAGTGATGCTTGACTTCGGTGATCTGCTGGGAACCGTGTCTTAACGATCAGTCCACTGCGGGACTTTTTCTTCTTGGAAAAATATGTTTGTTTAAAAAAAATTCGGCGTGAGTTAACTACCATTAAAGAAAAATTATTAGCACAGCCACAAGTGGAGTCGCAGAAATTATAACACATAAAATAACATGACGGGGCTGATTTGCAAAGCAAGTGGGGAGTGGAGCCTCCTAGTAGAAGGAAAGCTTACATGTTACTAAAACTAAAAATAATAATGATTTATATGAATAATGAAAATAGATAAAATTGATAATTTATATACAAAATCTATCTTCACTTTTTCAGATAATAATGTCAGACACATTAAATATGTGTAAATAGAAACATTTTGCTTTTTATATCGGGAAGCTCTTTAACTCATGATTGTTAAGCTGTGTATTAGACCTATCAAACTGGTTTTGATCTCATATATTTTATCACAAAATGCATAGGCTTAAATAAAAAACTGTCTGTCTTATTTATAAAAACTTAAATTTTTTATTACCTCTTTTAAACCTTATGCAAAATTGTATGATCAGAAATGTCTCATTTATGCCCCGTTTCTTGAAATAGAGCTATTTTCCATCTTATTTATAATCATTCTATGCAGGTATTTTACCTGCATGGACATAAAAATGATGAGTGAAAAAGTAAAAGGATCTATTTAAACACTGGTAAATGTAACACAAAACTTTAAAGGTACTCTATTTATTTTAAATATTTATCAAAAAATCCTTTTTTTCCCAAAATATTTCTCCATCGTCCAACAAACTCTCCTTGATTTTTTTTTATGAATATGATGCTATATTTAAGCATCATATTCAGAGATATTTTTTTATGAATATGATGCTATATTTAAATGCAGATTCTAAGCGCTTTTGAAAGTATTAAAAAAAAATCTATGATATTTATGGGGAATGAACTAAACCGATAACTGTCAAAAAGGTTTGGAAAAAAATAATCCTATGTTTATTGAAACTCTATCAGAAAACACTTAGTCGGTGGAAGATTGATACTCTGAACAATATATATTTCAATTCAGAATAGAAAGGGCAAAATGAAATTTTTATTTTGTGGTTTATCGGTCAAACTATAAAATAACTTTCATATACGTACGTAAAATGATAAAATAGAAATGCACTCAAAGTGCTTTCTATGTTAATCACTAATGCACTTTTTTCATAAATTTCATTTTTCGTAAAATTTAACTTCTTGTTTCTTAAAATCATTTTTTAATAAATTGTAACCAATTTGTTAAAAAATAATGCAAAAAATAACATTTTATCCCAAACTAAATTCAAATCATTGTAAGTCAAAGGTGGTGTCCTTTAATGCCCTACATATTGCTTAGAAGAAGCATTTGCCATTTTAAGAGTTTCAAAATTCTGAAATTTATTTTGCCTTTAATTTCTCTGATGGGCCAATCATATGTATTTCTTTATCTTATATGGATTAAGAAAAGGTACAATGTTCTTGTACCTTTTGTATAGGATGCAAAATTTTTATATTGTAAATAGAAATATATCTTTTAAAGATATATTTTTCCGTGCATAAAAGAAGTTACTAACTTTTGTTATAAAACAGGTTTTTTTTCCACGGATTTTTCTTTATCTAAACACGGGTCTTCAGTGTTCATACGTTAAACTTCTTTTTTAAATGACTTCTTTTACAGAAAAGGCTCATAAATTTGTTTTCATATAGCAATAATAGTACAGTGTGGCACAATGTAGTGCGTCAGAAAACGGGTCAACCTGAATAGCTTTTGACCTAGTGCTTGGATCTTCATATACTTGAATTCAATCTTAATGGCTCGAGAGGGTGAACTCAAATATGCTAATAAATAAGTGCAGACGATATTTTGTAATCAGACACAAAAAAGTGCTTTCTCTGAAAAACATACCTCTTTTTTGACGGATTGGGATTTATGACCAAAAGATATAGGGGTAGCAGCAAATTTGGAATGATGGTCCCCATAGTTTGGTTACTTGAGCATTCCAGACATAGGATTCCTTAATGTTACTTTTACTTTCTGCATACTTCGCTATATCTAGAAACCTTTTAAAGTGAATTCAAAAACATTTTCCTCTCAATTATAAAATTCATTAACCAAAGTTAATTCCATGCAAAAATAACTTTTACTAAATATCTATTATTTTTTATTATTTAATTTAAGAACAGTGAAACATTTTTCGAATTGTAAGGTACAACTCTTTCATCATTTTAACGAATGTAATTTACTTAGCTAAATACAATACTTTAGCAAAATCAGCCAAATAGTTCCTGCGAAATCGAATTTCAACAATCTGACTTTTTTGAAATTCTATTTCTCAGGAAAGTTTCAACCAATTTTGCTCAAATTTTATATTTTGTCACATAAAATTACATTATTTAAAATGAGGCAAAAAATTATGTATCTCAAAATGCAAATTTGTTTTCACCATTCTTAAATAAAATAATAAAAAATAATAACTAATTACTAAAAATTATTTTTTGTATGAAATTACCTTTGAATAGACGAATTTATAATTGTGTCTAAAAAATTTTCAAATTGCTTAAAATTTTCGCAAGATATGATGAAATGCGAAAAAAATTAATAAATGAATAACATTGAGGATTCAAAGTTTGCACAGCTTTCCTGACCAAACTGTGGGGAACATATATTTCCCTGATTGCGCAACATCCTATATCTTGGGGGTCAGAAATCAGAATGTGTCGAAAAAAAAAAGGTATGTTTATTCTGAGAAAGTACGTTTATGTGTCTGATTTCGTAACTACAAATATCGTCTGCGCTTATTAATTAGCACATTTAATTTCACTCCCTCTAGCCATTAAGATTTAGTTCTAGAACATGAAAATCAGATCATTAAATCAAAAATTATTCTTTTTTTGTGCTCTGTACATACATTTGCCTCATTCAGCAACAAAAAGTTCAGCAACTTA